GACATACAAATAACCAATATGCAAAGGTGTTCAAAAAAAAAAAAAAAAAAAAAAAGCCAAGCCTCTGATCTTTATTTAGAAAGTGAAAAACTTACTGAATAATGCTTCAACAAACAAAACAATATTTTAAATGCTTACACTTAAAAAAAAAAGCTTGCACTTTGCAAATGTGGGCTCTAAAAGTTGACTCTGCTTAGTTAAAATGGGTATGTCATGAGGAGTTTAAGGAACTTCGTAAGCCCTGGAAAAGCTTCAAAGAGTTCCCAGAATGCATAAAACCCTCAGCTGAGAAGAAAACAGCTTTTTTTCCTGTGACTTTGAACAAGTCCCTCAAATCTCAGGCGCCCAGTCTATAGGCACTGCCTGGGCAGTATTACATCATTACACCCATCTTTTATTTTTCACTGTCTCCCTTCTGCCTTTCTCTTGCGCGCACACTCCTTCTGTGGATTTGTAAGGCTAAGCCTCTCTTCTCTCTTTCCCACTTGCCTGAACTTTAGGCCTCTTTGCTGTCCCGCAGGACCATGGCTCCCAGTCCTTGTGGAAGTCACTGAGCTAAAGACGAGGATGGCCATCCTCTGGTGTGGAGATGAACCTGAAGCCTGCTCCCACCGCGCGCAAATCACCCCGCCAGGCCCCCCTCACTGTCACCAGGGCACTCCTCTGCTCAAAAACGTTCCGTCCCCCACTTGAAATCTGTCCAAGCCTACCCATCAGACCGGATTCACCACTAGTCCTCACTCGGCTGTTTCTGAAATGCCTAGCCTCCGCTTCTGGCCTCCGCTGGTGCTCTTCTCTCCACTCAGAACCCTTTCCTTTCCCCCACTTTCTTCCACCTATGCAAATACTATTAAGTGTTCCCGGCCCGGTCAAAGCTCCAGGGAACTTCCTCGAAGGCCCCAGCCCGTATTCCAGACCGTCTTCCCCGCGCCCACGGCATTTCCCTGCAGACTTCTGCTTGGCAGCCCGCATCCTGCAGTCTGTGTTCCTTGACGGTGTCCTGCGTGAGTGCGGGCAGCGGGTCTATGAAGTCACTTCTCTTGGAAGCTTTTCCTGACCTCCTCCCTTCCCGCCCGGTCTGGGAGACCTTCTGCAGGGCGCTTGGCCCTAGGCCCTCCCCGGCCTCCATCACCCTCATCGCCGGTCTCATGACTGTCATTACCCCTGCCCGACGGCAAGCTGCCTGGGGCAAGGGCGGTGCCTGACTTACTGCCCGGGGTGCCCCCGACCCGGGCCCAGTGCCGAGTGTGTTAACCGCCTGGAGTGAGCGGGGCCGGGCCTCCGTTCCCTTGGCTTGGACGTCCAGCTCTCAGCCCCGGGCCGGGAGCACCTCGCGAATCCGCCC